AAAGAATAGAATATGCATCTACTTAAATCAACTTCAAGTCAAATGGTTAAAAAAAATAATTTCACACACAAAAAAAGAGCTAGAAAATTCACCACACTGGGAAGAGTGAAGACAACTGGGTCGCCCGGCCCTGGCCACGAGGTGTCCCTTATTTATTTTTCAGGGAGTTGGCAACCCTACCAAAAACGTCAGAGCACTTTTGCAAATATGTGATGTCTTGCAAACTGACCAGGTATCTGACGTTTACACAACTACATTCACGCCTCAAAATATCTTAAAAGTGTATTTTGTGACCCAGAAAGAGTAATATTACAACTAAGTAGCTGCCGCCATTGTTGGAATTCGACTTTTGCGAGATCTCGCAAAACTTTTGCGAGATCCCGAGTTTGTTTTGCGAGATCTCGCAAAAGTCCGTCTTAATTTTTTTTTTCTCCCATGTCCCCTGCGGGGCTCCGTACTAAACCAATGCTGTCTGCAGTTTTGGTTGTAGCATGCAACAAAGTTATACTGATTTTGATGATACTGCTAACAGAACTTCAGCTCTTTGCAAACATCTGCAAGACGGCATGCTAACGCAAAGCTAGCCAAGAACCCCAAGTGATAAGATAAGATAAGACTTTACTGATCTTATGGCGGGAAAATGTATGCTTTACCTCAGCTCAGGTACAGAAGAAAAATACAAAAATACAAATAAATACAAACAAATACAAAATAAGTAAGATAATATTATAAACAGTAGTATACACAGTATGTGATTATGGATATAGAGTTCTGGAAATATGCAAGACGTAAATGATATTAAAGCTGAGTGTATGGACACCACTGCCCAGCAGCCAGAGCCTGATTGCTAACAGGTAACAAAGGCAGTAATGAGCAGTCAGGCTTGCAATCTCCATTTCTACCTGTTCATGTGTCTACAGTAAAATCATTGTGGTGTCTTTAGCGTCTCTTTGAGCTGGTTTTCAACTTCGCTTGCTGCATTACTTTCAGGAAAGGTAACACAAACTCACCAACAAGCATTTATTTCATTTGTTTACTTGAGGTTTGATACAACCTTTAATGAAGCCAAGTGTATTAATGATGAGTTGAACCAAGAACTTTCTAAGTTGGATAAATCGTTACAGCTTGTTACTATTAACTTTCAGTCCCGTTCTTATGTAATTTGGCATACTTCAGCCTTTTCTTGCTGTTTTTCTTCCTTAAGAATGACTTCTTGACAGACACCCTTCTATCTAATCCATAAGTGAAATATAACATATGTTTTGCTTTAATAATATAACAAAATTATTGTGTGTTCCATTGTTTTATGACATCTACTGTACATAACAGTAATAAAAGAAAATGTCTATTTGTTACAATTTATAACTGTTATGATATCGGTTGTGCATCCACATTTGGTGCCCTATCACATAATGCCAAATTGCGATGACATGATTCAGGTGTTTTAATAATGAACATATTAGATCCTGGAAAATTCCATTTAGTTTTATTTATATTGTGATAAATAATCATGAAGTGTTTGATCTTGCTGATTAAATATGTCTATGCCTAAAGACATTAGAGAAATAAATTTGTTTTTACAAGTTCAAAAAGACATTTATTCTTATTTAGCCTCTTATGTTAGACTTGATAAGTGGAAAACACCACACATACTTATTATTTTGTTTATTGTTCCACATATTGTGTAGATATTCTACAGTAAATTCTGTCAAATGAGATGAACTAACTCTTATTATTTACATTTTTATTTTTTAAAACCTCAGTGTAAATTGTACCTGTTAAAATATATGAAGTTAATCATTACATGCTTGTCGATATTGTCCAAATTAATGAATGTTTTGATTAAATATGGATGTTACCATTATTAATAGTAGTGATGTACTTTGTCAAATCACATGTTTTTTTGAACAGGATGAAGTAGGCATGAGATTTTTCAAAGAAAGAAAGAAAGTTTCATCCCTGAGGCCATAGATGAGAGGACTCAGACACCTTGGAACAATACTAAAAAATACATAGTTAAAATATCTGAAATCTCTAAACAAGTTGACGTCAATCTGAAGGACAGCTGTTTCTATGAATGGACTCCACAGGTGAACAAGACAGAGAAACAGCTGGAAAGCATGAAGGATCACTGTTCTCACTCCTTTTTGTGTTGACTTCTTACTCTCTCCTGATGCAGCTTTGGCCACTTTCATTATTTGAACATATGAAAAAACAATAGTGATGCCCATAGTCATGAAATAAAACTGACTTACAGCTGAGCGAGCATGATCCTGCCATCTATAAAGCATAAACATTTCAACAGAGCAAATAGTGTATTGATTGTAGAAGCTAAGTGAAGCAGTAGCAAAGAACATGGAAATGATAACAATGCATGGCCCAGAGCTGAGGCCATGAATAATCAGGATACAGTACATAGTGCTGCGTGTGGAGCACAGCTGTCCATGACGAAGGGGCATACAAATGGCTACATAGCGCTCCAGAGTCATTGCTGTCAGAGTAACTGGTGTGACAATAGAATACACAAGCACAAAAAGACAGATAAATATACACAACCAAACTTGCACTGAACATCTGGTTAAAATAAGCAGGATATCGGTCATGAGTAACAAAAAGCTGTCTGACAGTAAAGTGACAAAAAATAAAATGTAGCGAGCAGATGTGTGAAAACATTCCTTTTTTACAAAGGTCACAATGAGCAACATGTTGATACAAAGAAAGATTATGACCAGGGTGTGCACAATCATGACCCGGACTGTCAATAGTTGGTGCAAGAAAGCACAAATTAGTGAGCTGTTACCTGCCATTGAGAACAAACACAAGTATTTAAATAACTTCTAAGAGTCAATCAGTGTCATTAAAAATGTAAGATTTACTCTAAAGACTGAAACCAAAAAATCAGTCTAGTGGAGAAACCTTTCGTCCTTTTCCAAACACAAATATCCTCTTCTGACCGCTGCAGTTCTCTTATAGATGACAGTGGAACATTATTTTAAAGGTTATATGAAACTGAAGTTGTCATATGGTGTCATCATCTTTCCTAAGAGATCAGTCCCCTTGATAGCTGTACACTGTTGATAGATGGAGCACTCAGTCAGGAGAGTCTACAACTAATTAAAGTTTTGAAAACTTCGTTGCTTGTTGACAAGTTAATCAATTGGCATGGTTATTGCCAGAAGCAAGACTACATCCCATTATTTTTTTAAGGTATGTTTTATTATGCCCTACAGTGACGTGACCGTGACAAGCAGTAGGCCTATTTTGTGCAATATTCAAACAAGTCAATAGGAAAAATTATTTTCTTCCCTACTTATTGCCTTTAAGGTATTTATTGCACACTGGGCAGCATAAATGATTTGTTGTTGTTTTTTTAATAAATTGCCAATACGTAGGGAATAGGACTCAGACACCTTGGAACATATCCAATAAATACACTATTCTCTTACATGTTTGTCTGAAATACCCTTATCATGGTGCCGGGGTTTGTGTGTCCCAGGGGATCCCAGGGGTTATGTTGTCTGGGGACTTCTGCCCCCTGGTAGGGTCTCCCATGTCAAACTGATCATCCTCTGTTGTTGACTTGGCTGTCTCTGACCACTACTGTGTGTTTTTTAACATCACCGGTTTTATTCAGCGGGAGACCTCGGTGCGAACTGTGAGGAGGCGCTATCTAACCTCTGAAGTGGCTGCAAATTTTACCAGGGTTTTAGACGAATGCCCCCCTGTGATTTTACCTGCACCCT